CGATACTTCAAATGATAATTCAGACAGTGAAGCATAAATGTTATCTTTATTGTATCTTAATTGCGATTGTATAAGTATGTATATATTCCAATTTTAAAACAAATGTTACGAATAAAGATTTCAAAAAACCTATATAGTTTTACATATATCAGCAGTAACATTATGTACAATTATGTATGTACCAAAAATTTCAAATTTTAAAATCATTCGGTTTGAAGAACGATTGACATGATTATGATTGTTTTTGTATCCGTTCTGCTTTCTTTACCCTAAACCCAAACATTTAATATTTTTGGTTTAGCGTTGAAATAGCGTCGAAACAACACATTTCGATGCTAATTCGACGCTAATTTGTAAAATTTTGGTTTAGCGCCACCTGAAATTTTTCGGTTTACCTCCAACACTTAAACCAAAGTAATTCAATATAGCGTCGGTCTTGCTTCGAATTCCAAAAAATCCGATGCGATTTCTATTTTTTACCCTAAACCCCTCAAACATCAAACATTTTAAGTTTAGCGTCGAAATAACATCGAATTGTTAAGGTTCGATGCTATTTCGACGCTAATTAGCATCGAATTACCATCAAAATGTGTAGTTACGATGCTAATTCAACGCTAAACCTAAAACATTTGATGGTTGGGGTTTAGGGTAAAGAAACCACAAAAGATACAAAAACAATCTTAACCATGTCAATTTTTCTTATACCCGAATGATTTTAAAATTTGAAATTTTTCGTACATACATAATTATACATAATGTTAATAATGATATATGTAAAACTGAAAAGGTTTTTTTGAAATCTTTATTCATGACATTTGTTTTAAACTTTGAATACATAATTATACAATCACAATTAAGATACAATAAAGATAACAACTACGTATGAACATAGGTTAATGATGATATATGAATAAAAATTTCAAAAAACCTATATAGTTTTACATTTATTATAATTAACCTTTATCCAATAACGTTGTGGATTGTTTGAAAAAAAAACAGGAGACTCATATTTTGGTTGTATAGGTGATTTAGTTTCTATGGATGTTTCACACGACTCCACTGACGTTGTTCTTTCTTTTCATCTACCTGTTCCTCGACTAATTGTTTAAGCTGATGGTGATCTCATTGGTGATATGATTCCATATGCTGCAATTAAACACACTCAATTTATGATATTTAGTCGCATGTATCCTTCGACTATAATATTTATTTTTGTGGAGTTCTCTTTTAAATACAAATGGGATTGTGCAATTTTAAAGTGGATTCCTCATAACGCCACTACAAATGCTGGTAGATTAGTTCATATTCTATCTTCTACTAAAATTAACCATAATATCACTAAAACCGAATCGAATTAACACTTGAGTTTCATTCGGCAACACTACATACAAACAAATTTTCCATAACCAAACAAAACCATAATTTTATTCCGATAGTTTAATTTAGTTTCATTATAATATTTCAAACTCAACAAAATGAAAGAACCGACGACAATCCTAATCGACCATTAACTAACATAATATATTTAAAATTCATATAAATTTTTGTATTTGGATTAGGCTCTTATGCTAGGACGTAGGATTCTAGGTTTTAGGATCTATGTAGTGTTTTTAATATTTTACATGCATTTGTGAGGGTTTAGGATAACATAGTACCTTAATTTGTTAAAATATAATTTGATTACAATAATTTACATGCTTTTGTGATGTATTATGCTCACATATTAGTGTTTTAGTACACAATAATTAATTTTTAAGTCTCTACGTAAAATTAATTATGTTTTGGTTCTTTTTGACTGTTTGAATTTCGCAGATTATTTTTCATTAGTTGACTCTTTTTGGAATTGATGTTTTAAATTGATGATAAAAAATATTTTCTATTAAAAAATAGAAAACTAAATAATTTTTTAATTCATGTACAAAAACCTTAAACAATTAATATGAAATAGAGGAGTACTGCACTAGTTCCTCTATAAAGCAAACCCATCATTCTAGATTTAGACTAAATGCATTTAAGTAAAATTACGGCTCTTGACAGACAGTTACTTATGTTGTCCGTCTTGGCTTAGTTAATAAAATATTTCCATTTTAGAAAAATAATTTAACATTTAAAATTAATTATATTGTCATAATAAATATTATAAATTTTAGTATCAATTAATCACAATCGATACAAACATAATATCAATTATAAAAGTTGATATAAATATGTAACATCAATTGTTATAAGTGTCACATATATTTAACATCATTTGTATAAACTGATGTAAAGATTAGCTTCATTTTTTATAAACGACACATATTGACATCGGTCTTTTTTTATTAATACAAAATATTACAGTCACTATTTCATAATCACTCATAGAAATGATGTAGTTTTAGTTGTGTCAGTAAAAAAATGATATAAACTAATAAAATAAATTATATAATCCATCTTTTTTAGTGACATGTACGCAT